CAGAATCCAAATGATATAAAAATTATTTGCCGAAGTAATAGCAGAAAACTTCTCAAGCATGTGAAAAGAAGGTGACATACAGATAATTAAGGCATATAGAACTCCATTTAGCCATAAACAAAATAAATCTACACCCAGACATGTAAATAATCAAGGTCTCATAAATTCAGCACAAGAACAGAATATTAAAAGCTGTTTGTGAAGAGAAACAGATCACTTATAAAAGGAAGCCCATTACAATCATTGCAGACTTCTCAAAACAAACCCTCAAGTCAAGAAGTGCTTGGAGAGAATTATTTCAAATCTTGAAGGAAAATAACTTCCAATCCAAATTTATGTACCCTGAAAAACTATCTTCTAAAATTAGTAGAGAAATAAGATACTTCCATAACAAAGAACAATTGAATAAATTCATGACCACCAGACCAGCACTATCAAGGGTACTGTAAGGTATTCTAGACAGAGACAAAAATGACGACAATTCCAAGAGCAACAGCAGAAAGAAACCATGAAGCAGGGCAAAGAATTAAACAACTGCAACAGTAGGGAACCAACAGCAGGAAAATAACATGACAAGGATAAGCACATACATATCATTTATAACCATCAATGTAAATAGCTTCAGTTTACCAATCAAAAGAAACAGATTGGCAGAACAGATCAAAAAATAAGATGCAACTATATGTTGCATACAAGAAACTCATTTCACTAAAAAAGAAATTGAGCCAGGCATGTTGGCACATGCTTGTAATCCCAGCACTTGGAAGGTTGAGGCAGGAGAATTGTGGCAAATTGAAGACCAGCCTGAGCTAAAAAGTGAGCTTGAAGACAATGCAAACTGCAGTGTGACCCAGTCTCAAAAAGACATGAAGAAAAAGAAGAAGAAGAAAAAAGAAGAAGAAGAAGAAAAAGAAGAAGAAGAAGAAGAAGAAGAAGAAGAAATTCATAAACTGAAATTCAAAGGATGGAAAACATGTTTTTGTTTGCAGATAATGTGAACTTCAAAACAAATATCAAAAGAGATAAAGAAGGTCACTAAACACTTGTTAGGCAAATATTTCTAGATGAAGAGATAACAATCACAAACATATATATATATATATATATATATATATATATATATATACACATATATGCACCATTGTGACAGCACCCAACCATATGAGACAAACATTAATTTACATGAAAAATCAAGTAAGCAATAATACAATTGTAACAAAGGACCTTGATAACCTCATTGTCACAAAGAGATTGATCAAATAGACAAAAAATCGGGAAAGAAATAAAAATGAACCAAACCTATAAACAAATGGACTTAGTAGATTTTTACAGAGTGCTCCACACAACAATACACACCAGAATACACATTATTAACACCTGCACACAGAATTCTCTAAAAAAGAACATGTACTAGCCCATAAAACATGCTTAACTAAGTGCAAAGAAACTGAAATTATATTGTACATTTTTTTGGTACTGGGGGTTGAACTCACAGCCTCATGCTTACCAGGCAAGCGCTTGAACCACCAAGCTAAATCCCTGGCCCCAACCCATGCATTTTATCTGACCATAGTGAGATAAAAATGGAAATTAATGACAAAAAGGAATCACAAAACTTCATAAGCACATGGAAATTAAATAACACCCTCTTAAACAATCAATAGGTCACAGATAAAATTTAAAAAATAAAGAACATCTACAATCAAGCAAAAATGCAACTTACCAGAACTTGTGGGATGCAACGAAATCAGTCCTAAGAGGGATATTTATAGCGGTGAATTCTCACATCAAGAAAACAGAACAAATATAAATAACCTAATGCTGCACCTCAAGCTTCCAGGAAAGGAAGAGCAAGTCAAGCTCACAGCCCATACAAGGGAGGAAATCATAAGATTAGAGCACAAATTAATGAAATTGAAATAAAAAAAAATACCAAAAATTAATGAATAAAACATTAGGTTCTTTGAAAGAATAAATTAAATTGAAAAGTCCTCAGCCAATCTTATCAAAAAAAGGAAAGAGGGCTGGGGATTTAGGTCAGTGACATAAGCGGCTGCCTTGCAAGTGCGCTGTCATGAGTTCGATTCCTGGTACAAAAAAAAAAAAGGGAAGAAAAAACTCAAATTCATACAATAAGGAATGAAAAAGGTGAAATCACCACAGATCATGTGGCAATTCAGAAGATCATCAATACCTACTTTGAAAATCTTTCATTTGCATAGGATGAAAAATAGAAGAAATGGACAGCCTCATCACACTCCAGAAAAAATAGTTATCATCAAAAAAATCAATCGATAACAAATGCCTGAGTGGCTGTGGGAAAAGGTGTAGACCGGTAGAACCACTGTGGAAATTAGTGTGGAGATTCCTCATAAAACTAGGATTAGAGGTCTCATTTGACCCAGCTATCTCTCTTCTGCTTATATTCCCAAAAGATTTTAAAACATCATACTACAACAATACATGTGTACCTATGCTTATAGCAGCACAGTTTGTACTAGCTAGATCTTGGAAACAACTTAAATACCCATTGACTGAGGAATGGATAAAAAAGATGTGGTATTTTTATTCAATGTAGTACTACTCAGCCATAAAGAAGGATAAACTGGAGACTTTTATAGGTAAATGGATTCAATGTGAGACCATACTCAGAAGTGAAATAAATCAAATTTTCATGTGTAAACATCATATTGTCTCCCTACTACAAGAAATTGTAAGAGTAAATAAGATCCGAAATGTACAACAGATATTATGAAAGGGAAAGAGACTGCTGAAAAGGAAAAAAAAAAAAAACAATTGGAATGGGGGAAAGGAGAAAAGGATGAAGGGAAAACAAAAATTCTGTATATATACAAGATAACTAAGATAATTATACTAATTCATTTTAGTTCATTGAAAGAAATGGTTTATGCTTATATAGTTTGATCAATTTTGTTCACCTATGTCTTACAATCTGAGCCACTGCTTTGAAGATAACTATATGCAGTACAGTAATCACTGTTAATTTCCCATTGCTTTGAAATTCTGTATCATTGTTTTTCTGCTTTTTTTCCTTTAAAAAACTATTCAGTAGAAGACGACAGCCTTTCAACAAATGATGTTGGAAAAATTGAACACTGACTAGACATGCCTAACTTGCAGTGAACAGGTTTGTTAAAATAACAAATACAAGAAAATTCAAGTTTTTACTTACATAATTAGCTGTATTACATGTTCTAGACATGGCCCCAGGCAATTCAAGTGCATATTCCTGATGGAGAAAAATTATCCTGACCCAAATCTTACACCCTGTATAAAAATTGACTCATAATGGATCACTAGAACTTTTAGAAAAATTAGGAGAAAGTCTTTGAACTGGTAAAATTGTTTTCTTATAATTCATACTAAAATTAAATCTATTAAAGGAAAAATTGATGTTATACTTTGATTAAATTTTTGTTCTACAAAAGCAATCTTACAAATATGAATAAACAAATTAGAGGATATAATTATATTAGACATATCTGACAAAAACTGGCATCTAGAATAACAAAACAAACCCTCAAAACTAAACAGCCAAAAACCAAACAACCAAAGTAAAAAATGGGCAAAATATATGAATTGACACATCATCAAAGAAGATAAAATGATGGAGAGCATACACTTGAAAAGATCATCAACATTATTGGTCATCAAGGGAATCCAATTCCAAATCACAACAGCATAACTTTACATCTATCAGGACTGAAAAAAAAAAAAAAACAGTGACATACCCAAACCTAACAAGGATGTGGACTATCCAGATAATTCATACATTTCTGGCTGGCACACAGAATGACATAATCACTCCAGAAAAGAAGTAGGTAGTTTCTTGAAGTAAACACACAGTTATCATACTACTCAGTTACTATATTCTTGATTATTAGCCCAGAGACAAGAGACTTGTAATATTCACAGAAAAATTATACAAATGTTTATACAAGTCTAGAAGTACAACAAGTGGGTGGTCAAACAAACTATATTATACCACATTACTATGGGATACTACTGAGAGACGAAAGAAGAACAACTTGCACGGATTTCAAAGAATTACGGTAAATGAAAAATGCCAGTTCCTAAAAGTCACACATGAAATTGTCCATCTACAGAGCACTCTTGAAATGTCATGATTATAGAAATGAGAAGATTAATTATGGCCCAGGATTAGGGAATCAGAAGAAGCTAATAAATATGACTATAAAAGGGCAGTAATGGAATCGTTGTTGATTTGAAATATTTTGTATCTTAACTGTATGAATGTCAAATTCTGGTTGTTATATTATACTATACTCTTCTGAGATGTTATCATTGGGGGGAATAATATAAAGGGCATACAGATGTTTTGTATACCCTATAAAAACACAAGCTTTAGAGTAGAGGTGTCCAACTGGGAGTCTATAGTAATTTTGCCCAAAATTTTTCGAAAGAAGAGGAATTGTCTTAGGCCACATATAAAATTTATAATATAGTTAATGTATACAAGTAATAAAACTTCCTTTAAAAATTTTTATTATAAAAGAATAAATGAAGACAAAAACTAAAGGCCTTACACTGAACATGTCTGCTAGAGCTCAACTGCCTAATTTTTTATCCTGGCTCAATCATTACTAAGTATGTGACCATAAGTGAATTGTACTTATAAAATCCCTATGTGCTTTAGTTTTCTCAACTACACAGTGTGAATAAAAACATTCTCTGTTTCATAGAATTATCATGAGGATTAAATGATGTTTTTAAACCATTGTCACTTTGTTAAATGTATAATAATTACACATTAGCTATTATTAGTGATGTTAATGAATGTATTATAATGTTATTCAAAAGATTGTTGGTTATTCAACTGTCTAAATTACAGAAACATTTCTCTGTTATCTGAACTCATTTATCTAAACTTCAAATGCTGTTCCAAAGCTACATAAGCAAACTATGACTCCAATGTGATGAAATGAAACTCATATGAACTTTCAAATAAATAGGCTTACTTAACCGTCGAAGTAAGAGGCACAGAAGAAACACCGACTAAATCAGTGTTATTAATCCCAGTTGATGCTGATCTTAGATTCAGACTAAAGTCACTGGTAATTGTGGTAGTGGTGCTGGTGGTAACAGTAGTGGTAGTAGTTGTGGAAGTTGTAGCTAGAAAATAAAATAGATTATGTTATTAAGAAATTAATGCTTCATTTAAGCCTTTATTATTTACGGTTAAAAACTAGAGAGTCGTTTTTTAAAACACATGTGTGAACTCAAAATTGTAGATGTAAACTTAATACTTCTGTAATACGAGGTGATATATGGCAGACCAGATATCTACATTAATCTTCTTGCTGAAAACTAAAACTCATGGATAGACTAACTGAAAAGATAAAATAAACTAAAAAGCTCTTATAACCATTCAAGAAATTCAATCACACCTGTAATACCAGCACTAGAGAGGCTGAAGTAGGAGGAAAACTACAAGTTCGAGGCCAGGCTAGACTATATAGTGAGTTCAAAGCCTGCCTGAACTACATAGTGAGACTTTGTCTCAAAAAAACAAACAAACAACCAAAAAAAAAAAAAAAAAAAAAAAAGAAAAGAAATGAAAAACAAAGAAATAAAGAAACTGAACCGATCTTCAAAACTCTACCCATAATGAAAACTCCTGTGAATATTAAGGTTAATTATCAACTCCATTGGCTTAGGAGATGACTGGGGAGTATTAACAAAATATGTTTTTAGATGTCTTGGTGTGGATCGTGGAGACGTGATTTTGGGTTCTATATCTGGACCCTGGCCTTTTCCTCTCTGGTGCCATTTCAATGACCTGCTTCCCTGTCACCATGAACTAAGCATTTTTAATCTGGCATGCCCCTCTGCTATTGATGTTCCTGCCTTGAGCCCACAGACCCTACAGTTCTCTGAAACTGTATACAGAGTAAACATCTCCTTTAAATTGTAGGCATTGGTATTGTGTTTCAGTGACAAGAACTAGTACTAATACAAATTCAGATCCACGTGGGCTCACTGATAAGTTATACTAAACTTTCCAGGAAAAAGTAATTACAATTAAAAAATTTCTGCATATATTTTGCATACTTACATGCTTATATCTTTATAATTAATTCATACACATGAAACTGCTACATCAAAAAGAGCTGGCATGCTCTAAATTTTAGCATCTCACCAAATTGTTCCACTAAAATGATTTTGCTAACATATATTTCTATCGAGGAAAAAGTGCCTTTTTTTCTACACCATTGTCAGTACTAGGCATATATCTTCATCAACTTAACAGGCAAAAGCCTCTCAAAGTTTTATCTACAGTCCAAACCTCTTTTGTGTGTCTTTTTTTGTTGCACCCCAACTAGAATATCTTACTCTCTTACAGATGAAATGATGAGATTATTTTACATTCTACCTTGCCGTGTTTTTTGCCCTTTCTCACTCAGTCACAGTTTTCTTTTAGTTTTGTGAACTTTAATAGCATTTTTGAATTTTACTATACATTGATCACTTAAAGAACAATGTACAGAAAATTGTGGCTGGTGAAGATGGAGAATATTTTATTTTCTTCTTTTTGGTTCTTTATATTTTCAAATGTTTTTGCAATTAAGTGCTATTTTAGAAGAATATAGCATGTGCACAATTGTTTGTTTTATGTTCCCTTGTTTTTTCAATTGGCAATATTTTCAGGTTAATAGCTGTACTGTTTAAATATGGAACTTATAGTACCTGCCACAAGTACTGATTGTTCCCAGGGAGCCTGGCCTACCCTATTTCTCCTGAGGGAACAGGCTCAATTACCCCTTCTTCATTCCAGATAACTGTTCTTTGCTTCTGCTTTACAGTCGATCATGTCCAGGTATTGCAAGCCATTCCTTATATCTATTGGAAGCATTGGCAGAAAATGTTCTAGCCAAATATGGATAAAGTGGATCAGAATCTTAAAAATTTTAGCAACATGGAAGAATCCAACTCTGGGCAGAAACATATGCTTCCAGAAATATGAAAAGAATCAGATTGCAGGCAGAAATTTGAAAATGTTTCCAAAAATGTAGAAGGCACCAGGCTGTAAGCAGAGAGAGTTCAAAGAGAAACAACACAAGAAAGACATTAAGTACAAATAAGGGGTTGTGAATAAGTCAAAATTATGAAAAAAGCAAAACATAAAGACAACAAAAGAGATAAAACCAGAGGAAAGCTTAAAAAGAAAAGAAATAACTGAACAAAAAGAAAGAAAACAAACTGCATTAAATTTGTTCAATATTTGATCTAGACAGACCCTAAATTTGAACAATTTTTGAGTTCCAATTTCCCTGAAATATCAGAGCCACAGAAATGTCCAAATTTGATTTTTTGTAAGACTCAGTTTTCCTTTTAGTACAAGTATCCTTGCAATAATTCTCCATTCTTTGTGTTAGTCCTTCTGAGGGTGAAACAAGCACCATGGAGGAAGACTCTGCCCAATCATAAAGTATCCCTGGGATCAAAAACAATTAGAACATTGAAGAAATTATGAATGTGTTTGTGGGTAGTGTTTTATTACAGTCTGATGTCATATTCTTTGTCTGAGAAAAAAATTATCTGAAAAAAATCCTAATTCATAAATGCTGAAAATTAATTATCCTATCAATAGAGGCACTTTACTAATTCATTCAAACCATTAACTACTACATTCAAAAAAGAAAAAAAATATTTAAATGAAAGTAAGTACTATATTAATAAATACTAGAGTCAAGAAATGAAGAAAAAATTTTATAAGTATCCTTCTTGTAAAGGAATATACCTTCATCAAAGATTATGTTCTAAAAAACATTCTGTATTTTCTGATATTCAAAATATTCAAAAATGTACATTGGATAGATATTCAAAAATGTACATTGAAGAGGAAATAGCAAATTTTAAGATTCAGAATGGTACAGTGTGATATAATTTTTATAAAACAGATAAATTTAATATATGTTTAATATACTTAGAAAAAAAGATAGAATCACTCAACTGGTTTCCCTAGAGGAAGTGATACTGTCACACCAAGAAACAATGAAATAGCTAAAACAAAATACCTCCCCCCCAAAAAATATTGAAAGATACCTCTGGAAAATTAATACCTGTCAGCCTAAACACAAAGGAATATTGAGTCTTGAAATTCTGAGTCTTACAAAAAATGGTACAAATATTCTAATCTTTTTATACAGTATTTTTGTCTTTATGTTTTATGCTATTTTCAACGGTATACATTAGTTATGGCATATTCAAATAACAATAATACTTTAATTATAACCAAAGGAACAATAAACTTGAAAGTGAATGTTCTATCGCAGTCTGATTTTACAAGTTGTAACCTCAGTCTAATATGACATAGTCAATTACTAATGATATAATAAAAAGTAAGAACAATTCTATAAATCATACAAAATAACTAAATCCAAATTTGGATTTACACTTAGATAAATTTCATTCTGACAATCTTAGTCATTATATGAAGATATCCTTTAAGAGATCTTATGATGTAATTTTTCCAGTCCTGCTCCTGGTCAACAACTGTATGTCTTAATCCATGTTGGGACTGGACAGGATCACCTTCATAGATTCATCAGAAAAATGAGATTGATAAAAAGCAAGCTTCTCTTGAAAATTTGAGGATTGTACCTAGACCAGATGGCAATCCCAAAGACCTCTAAATTTTCAGAATACTTAAAGGCTGTTATGCAAAGTTGGATTGTGAAATGAAATATCCTAACAAGTGAATAAATTTGGATAGAAGGAAAGATGAGTAGGGAAAAAATGCTGGGTTTAGAGTGTCAGGTTGAGATATTATCTGAAGGGAAGGAAAGTAAGTACATAAAGTAGTAAAAGAATTGGTGCTAAAGGATGGGCCAAAGGCAAGAGTACACAAGTTTACAAGAAGAAATTTGAGCCTTAGATACACAAAAGTAGGTTATGAAAGTCACCAAAGAGCTTGTTAATTCCCATTCCAATGACTTAATTTATAGATGGAGCAATTTGGTTTTTTCAGTATTTTAAAGGTCAAAGTATGAATTACACATTTTGCAAGTATGGTAAGTTGTAAAGTTCTCATAACGCATCATTTACAGTTCTCAGTGATTGGCCAGTTAAGCTACTATATGGTAGAAACTCAGCAAGTATGGATCATTCAGGAATAATTATTTTAAACTTAAAACGGGTTTAATTTTATTTTATGCCAAGTTTGAAGAAAGAATCATTTTAGCACTAAGCAAATTAAAAATGAAACAAAGCAAAATAAAATAAGACTTTCTTATTTAAATGGTCAGTTTTAATAGCAAATGAATTCCAATCGCCTAGCTCACCAAATCTACAAACAATAAACAACAATGTTTTCTTCCATCTACAACCTAACTCTAGCTCTTTCTTGGCAGAAACAAACTCAAAATGGTTTGGAATCAACTTTAGGAAAGGGCTAACATTACTAGAAGTCAAAAATTAAGTTTTAGAGAAAAGAATCTCTATTAAACACTATGAGTAGTAAGTTCTTAAGTGTAAAAGTTGGCAAGAATTTAATAATAGTTTTGACTGTGGTTACCTCAAAGGAGAAATATCATTTAAAATCTTTTTCAATGCTGGCATCAAACCCAGGGCACAGCACATAATAAGCAAGTGCTCTACCACTGAGCTATAGTCCCAACTCTAATTACAATTTTTTATTTGAAGTATTGCATTTATACATTCTTGTGGGATACAATATAATATTCAATACATGTAGTCAATGTGCAATGTTAAATGCAGGATATAAGTTATATTACTTTGCTGTTCACTGAAGAATTAATGATCAAAAAAGTACTGTCACTGATATAAGCTGTTTCATCCCTCCCTTTGGCAATCTTCTATATTGGTATACCATTTCAAGACTATGTTAAGATAATCACAACACATTTTTACAGCCATAGAAGCTATAGAAATACTACCATTTACTATTCATTATGTAGTAAATTTCAAATGAGTGCCCGCAACATCCCAATAATTCTAAAAAACTTACTACATGTTGTAGAAGCTGCTTCGCCTGCTCCAGAGAATTTTAATCCAAATTCCAATCTTATACCACCAAGTGTTCTAGTTGAAGTTGTTGGGGCACCAACTACAGAAAACAATACAGAATAAATTGTCATTATTTTAATAAAAAGTTGAGAAATTTATATAGAATCTTGAAAGTCCCTTAGAAACTCAAAAAATTCTGGTCAATCCATTTAAATGAAACTTGAGAAAAGGTATAGAAAATAGATTAGCGTGATGATCTGTACCTTAGGGAAAGGTTCTAAAGCTAGATAATATTAATGGGTACACAATGGAATACACTGACATGTACAATTAAAGTAAGTTTATTTTATGATATGTAAGTTATAATTCATTATTAAATATACTATGATCCAGACATCTTTTCATTTTGTAGGGAAGAACATCAGAGACAGGAAGGGGAGAAAAACCTGTCAAAAGTCAGAGGGAAAGGTTTTAAACATAGAACCACATATAATTCAATAATTTAACTCCAAATCTCAGGCATGGTCATTAAATATTCATCAAATCACATTCATTAAGTTCACTGCAGGTGAGGAACAGGGATACGTTCAGAGACACAGCACCAGCCTGGCAAGTACAAGACCCTGAGTTCGATTCCTGGTACCAAAAAAAAAAAAAAAAACTCATTATAGTTGAGAAGTATGCTATTTACACATTTCAAAATCACAGTCATGTCTCAAAACTGAAGTCTTAATAGAAAATTCAAATCATGTAATAATGAACAACTCTAACTAATATTTACCTATGCCAACTGCACAAAGGGATGAGTATTATAAGCCATTATTCATGCTAACCTAAGTATCAGAATGTCCTGTTAAGTTTGGTCCCTAGAAATGCAAACAATCTTGCTACCATAGGACTTAAAGGAAATCATATAACAGCTCATGTTACACTACAACAAAGCTTAACAATGAACATCAAGGCACTGTGAAAACCTCAAAGGAACAGTGAGTTTACAAGTATCTACAAGAAAGAATAACTTAAAATATAGGCAGAATTCAATATTTTTAATATCTGTCATTAGTCTACTAATGGAAGATATAGTAACATAGAAGTTGAAGCTTTAAGATAATTAATGTCCCACCTCTCAGCTCAAAGCATCTGTATACTCCACTTTAGAGGGGAGGTCCTGAGAATAATCAAACACACACACACACACACACACACACACACACACACACACACACACACATCATGTGAGTTTCAATTAGAATCCCATAACTATAGTTGATACTTTACCATGTTCTATGTTTGATAGGTAAAATGTAAAAACCGCAGACCCGATCTATATAGAAGAGTACTCTCTCTCAATTCTCCAATATTTATTTGACATTTTATTTTCTTCACGGGATAATAAAGGACTTTGTGCCCTGAGACACACTTGACAAAACTCTTACTTCCTAATCTTTTTTTTTTTTTTTAAATCTTTTTACCAGTACCAGGGATTGAACTCACAACTGCCCGCTTGCAAGGCAGTTGCTTATGCTGCTGACCTAAATCCCCAGCCCCTTATTTCCTATTCTTAATAACTTCAAGAATTTGTTTCAAAATATCACAGAGTTAATGAATTAGACGCTTAAATTTATCATTTAGGCTATAATAACCATGCTATTATAATCATAGTAATAAAAGAAAAACTACAGTTAAAGCCATGACAATTAGGCTCTAAGTAAAGCTACTATTGATAGCAATAATTCAAACATAATGGTAATTTCTTATATGCAGTAGATCCATAGAGATCTGTAATTACATTGACAAAATTAAAATAACACTGTTCTTTGGAATAAGTATAACTTACATAAGAGCTCCGTAGCAGCTGTGGAGGTAGAAACATTTGATACTGAAGTAAACAACATGGTGCTTAGTAGTAGTGACAGCAGTAGACGCTGGAGGCAAACCTAAAAGTCACAGTAGCAAGCAGAAAGATGTCATTAAAATAAGTTTTAAAGAGTAAAACAATATTATAACAAGATTTACATAAGGAGAAATAAAAACAAAGCAAGTACTACACCTTGAAAGCTAATAAATAAATAATAAAAATTTTAAACCATTCATTAAAAAGTAATTCATCTATACAACTTCGTATAGCCAGACATCTTCCATCTTCCTGAAATTCTACTTTACTAAAATACTCAGTATAGGGAAAGGAATCCACTCCCATAATTGTGGCATAAAAAACTCTGGAGAACTCTTTCTTAGTGAAACATCTATGACTGGCAAAAAGTACTTTTTTAATTGGAAACTGCTGGAAATTGTCCTAAGAGCATACAGCAAATGGCACATTTATTCAAGAACCTGCTGAAACTCTATAACAGTGAGAATTTATGGCATATGAGTTACAATCCACTTCTTTCCTGCTTCCCATCCTTTGCTCACCTTGATGCAAGTCACACTCTAGGTTAGAAGAACCAAGAACACTAGATTCCCTTTGTCTCCAGCTCACAATTAAGGAATATAATATCTCAATGGGAATTTCAAGGAACCAGCAATCCTCATCAACTCCAACACAGCTTTGAAAGGATACTCATCACATCAAACACAAATTTTGATGACTACAGCCAAGATTTCTAGGGCTTGCTTCCTTTAGCCAGTCCCTACTCACAGGACAGAGGTTCTACCCCAGGCATGGAAGGTTGAGAATACCGATTACCTCACCCCAGCTCACTTGTAAGACTAAATTCTATGTCTGAGAAGGTAACCAGGAAGACCAGCAGCTATTTCCAGTGCCCAGTACTAAAAGTACTCACTTCAAGATTTTCTGCAAGTTAAAAGCTATTTGTAAGAGAACTTCCAGTCTATCCCAAAATAAATGACTTTATTTGAAACAAAATATGAAGGAGTTCAACTTGCAACATTCACATTTTAAAAAGAAGAATTTGGTGATAAGCAATTGGTGGAGACAGGTAGCTTCATGTGAACAAGAATTTAAACTCTTAAGGTTAGACAATAAGTGTTATGGTTTGTTTCTGGATGCTCCCCCCCCCACAAAGCTTCATGCTGTTATATGGTTTATTTTTTCATCTTTTGGATGTGACTGAATCTAGTGCATCATTGACTCCTGATGCAATGCTGGAATTAAGAGCGCTGGGATTAAGGGTAGATGATTGCTGAATCAGTCCACTGTTTGGATTGGCACTGTCTTAATGCTGTTACACTGGATATATTATAAGGGACAGAAAGAGGCTTTGTCTCCCCTCGCCAACTTGTTGCTTTTGCTGTCTGTGCCTACCATGAATTGCTCTTCTCTGTGAAGTAATCCTGCCATGGAGCCAACCAATTATGGACTGAAACCTCTACAAATTGTCAACTAAATAAACCTTTACTCCTTTAACTTTGAGTATTTGGTATTTTGTCCTAGAAACTAGAAACATAACTAAGACAGTAAATTTACCAAGATAGGGAGAAAACAATGCTGAAAAGATCTTTCTTGATCAGAAAAATTAAGTACTGCTATTTGCGACAACAGCATGGAAATAATTGGAAATAATTCACTAAGTGGAAGAAACCAAATACAAAGGGTCACAAATCAAAGGATTCTATTTATATGAAATATCCAAAATAGTTAAATTCATAGTAGTGGTTGCCAGGGGCTTTGAAGACAAGGGCATGAGGTAAGACTGCTAATGGCTACAAGGTGTCTTTTGGGAGAAATGAAAATGTTCTCAAATTACACAGTGATGATGGTTGCACACTCTGTAACTATTCGGTACCACCATATTGTACACTTTCAAAGAGTGCATTTTAAGATGTGAATTGTACCTTAATTGTGCTGTTATTAAGAAACACATCATTATCTCAAAAGAAGGGAAAACACTTGAGAAAAATCCAACTTACTTTCATGATAAAGACACCAAACAAAACTAGGAAGAAAAGGGAACTTCTTTGATATTATAAAAGGCATTGATGAAAAATCCACAGTAACATCATTCTTAATGGTGAAAAACTAAATATTTTCCCATTATATTCAAGAACAAAACAAGGATGTCCACTCTAGTCTCTCCAAAATTATATTAGAAATTTTGGCCAGGATCAAAGACAGAAAAAATAAAAATAAAAATAAGACCAATCCGTATTGACAATGGAAGAAATAAAACTACCTCTACTCACAAACATTATTAAAACAGACTATTCCAAGAAATCTATACAAAAATCTGTTAGAAAAAAAAATAAGCTCAAGAAGGTTACAGGAGCCAGGAATGATGGTGCATGCCTGCCTGTTATCCCAGAACTTGGGAGGCTGAGGCACTGTGAGTCTGAGATCAGTATAGGTTACATAGTGAGACTCTGTCTCAAAAAAGCCAAAAAATGTTGCAGGATGCAAGATGAACAAATAAAGCTAAACACATGTCTATATTGTAGCATTGGATAATTCAAAAACTAAATTAAGAATATGATTTCATTTATACTTGTTCAAGAGAATAAAATAATTTTTAAAAACTGACAAAAGAATTAAAATGATTGAAAGAAATGAAATGTGTCCTATATAAACGGAAATTTTACATGTAAATGGATCAGAAGACATTAATAATGTTATGCTGTGCTATTCAGATATGGGCCTCAAACATGACTATGTTATAACATCCATATGATTTTACTTGACAAAAAACTTTAGAGACAGAATTAAGGTTAAGTGTTTTTGAGATTATCCTAAATTATCCATGTGAGAAAAATCTAATGCTACAAATATTTTAAAGTAGAGAAGCTTTCCAGGTGGTGAGGAAAGAAAGATGTGACTACAAAAGAATGATCAGAAAGATCATTTGCTAACAAAAATAACCAGAGAGCATGTGAAAACGTGCTCAATGTCATTAGAGAGTTAAAAATCAAAGCCATTACAGAAAACCACTTCATATCCATTAAGATGAATATAATAAAAAAAGCAGATAATATCAAATGTAAGCGAGAGTATAGAAATTAGAAATCTCATATGCTGCTGGCGGGAGTGTAAGATATTGTAGCTCCTTTGGAAAACTAACATTTTCTCAAAGAGTTAAACATAAGTTATTATATGATTCATCAATATATGCCCAAGAGAAATTAAACATATTCACTTAAAAAATTGTACATGAACATTCATGGCCATATTAGACAGCAGATGGAAACAACCCAAATGTCCATTAACTGATGAATGGATAAAAAAAAGTAGCATATCCATATAATGGAATTTTACTTGTCTTAAAAAAGAAAAAGAAGTACTGACACATGCTACAATGTGGATAAGTTTTGAAAGCATGCCAGGTGAAAGAAGCTAATCACAAAAGATCAAATAATGTATGATTTGATTTATATGAAATGTCCATACTAAGGAAATCTACAGAGCCAGGAAGTAGATTAATGATTGCCAGAGATTGGGAGAAGAGAGGAATGTGCGGTGACTATTAATAGGTCTAAAGTTTCTTTGGGGATCATGAAACTTTTCTGACTTTGTTTACAGTGATAGTTACATAATTGTGAATATACTAAAATGTGATAAATTGAGCCAGGCATGAGGATGTATGCTTACAAGCCTACCCCTTGAGAGGCTAAGGCAAGAGAAAAGAATTTGAGGCTGTCTCCTCTGACATAATAAACTGAAAGCTGGCGCATACTATATTGTGATACCTTATCTCAAAAAAATGAATTTTATACTCGTCTTTTCAGTACTGGGAAGTGAAATCTTTATAATTTTTTGTTTTTGAGACAGGATGTTACTAGGTTGCCTCAGCCTCCTGGATTCTGGGATTATAGGTATGTACTGCCATAAGTAGCTTGAATTTTGTATTTTAAATGGCTGAATTGTATGGTATATTAATTATATCATAACAAAAATATGAAAAATTAATAAATAGAAGATTAACATAGTTTTTCAGAATACATATTACTTGTTCTTGGTTTAAAATTTAAAAACAAAACTATAAAATAAATAAAACTGGATAAATTAATTTGCACAGAGATACAAACAAGATTAATGAGTTGCTTGAAAATAGTCAATATATGGGTCACTGTACATGCCGCATGAGAATAAAAGTTCAAAACATGATTCTCCTGAATTGAGTCAACTTTTTCTAGGCTTTGACACAAAAATACAGACATTCTATCTTCCTTTCAGGAGAAAAAGTATTTAGTCAATAACTGCGCTTAAATCTATTGTTGCTTATATTCAACTGTAGAATAATTCATGACAACATATAAAACTGCTACCCAAAACACCTATATCTATTAGGAGTGAAGGGAGCCAGGAAGAACTGCTGAGATGGAACTGGGAATGTTACCATGTACTACCTCCAATTACTTAAACGTGTATAGAGGAATATCCTTGTTTCATTTAGGAGACATATCATGTGCATACTTTAAAAGTAACAAATTTTATATCAAAGCCATTTAAACTTACAATTCATTACCTACTGGAAAGTTTGAATTTTAAATGAGTTTAATAGGTACTTAAATTTCTTCATAAACTATCCATTTGTATTATTTGCTTCTTTTCTTATTAGAAAACACTGCTCCCTAGTTACTGATTTTTAATAAAGGTATATATCAATGTTATTTACTGGTATTTTGTCAGATGCTGTAAAAACTACTACCCCAGTTTGGCACTGTTGTTTTTAATTCTATTTTTATTTTGTATGTAGTCATATCTTTCCATCCTTTTTTACTTTATGGTCTTTGTCTGCATATCATGTTTCATTTTTTATTTTTATTTATGTTTTGTGTGTGCCAGGGATCCAATTCAAGATCTCGGACTTGCCAGGCAAGTACTTGTGTGGCTGAGCTAAATCCCTGGCCCTTGTATATCATGTTTTAAAAGATTCTTCCTCTCTTAAATATATGAAAAAGTGTTCAATCTCATCTTAAATATTGTTATTAATACATGTCTATTGTTCATAATGAGTTCTTCATCATATGGAGTTGGTACATG